TGCCCATAGAAAAGGATCACAATTTGTCACACGTAAGAGATTTCTGTCCTTATCTGTTTCTTTCGTTGAATATATATGCAATATTGTCAATATTTTAATTTTATTTTCCTTTTTCTTTTAAAATTGTGAATTTATTATGAATTTAAATTCAAATAAAGGTTTTTATTTCAATACAGTTTTTATCGAATATATTCCGTTTTTCTTTGCATCTATTGTAGTTATCCGAAAAATAGAATATTGGCAATATATTAGCACAAATATTTACAATATTGTCACATCCAATTACAAATAAATAAAAAATCCAAATAAAAATTAATTGAATAGATAGATAAAACAGTTGATTTTATACAAGTTTGATAGATATTTTTATCAAATCTAAATAATACTATTCTCTCAATCTCCTTCTCATACGCAAAAGGAATTTGCAAATTATGTATTCAAAGATTTATACATACTTTTTACCTTTTCTCTTTCAGATTTGCATGCAGCCCGTGAGAGTAGAAGAGGTGAATGGTAATCATAGAACAATACTATTGGGAGAAAGTGCAAAAAGGATCGCAAGTTTTTTGCAAGTGTAGTTTGTAAAACGCGAGAGAAAGTTTGTTAAGAAAATGAAGTGCATAACGTAACTAGAATCCGTGTAAAAATTTTAGTACGGCCAAGACAATGTTTCATGGCATAGCGCGGTGTCGGTAGAACTTAATTTTCACAAGGTTGCAGAAAGATTGTAGATATATTTTATCATGTAATCATACGATCGCAAATTCTTTGCACCATGTTGCTGCAATGTGAAACTGAAAGATTTCGCGCTATATAAAGTGACGTTACATAGGAATCTTTTATCATATGCTCTCCGATATTACAAGTCAGAAAATTCTTTGTATTCGCAAGCAAGCAAAACGTACAAAAATGAGAAATGCATGAGATAAGATGATACAGCTTTTTAAAATGGTATATCAGTACTTCCCTTATCATTAATTAATTTAAATTAAGTACAATAAGTTTTCTTGTATAATTTTTAAGTATATGGGATCAGTAACTTGTTTTAAGACTGTGTAAGCTTTTTCGTGATATTTCCAAAGTGGATACGAATTGAATGTGTGCGTATATATTTATTTAAATTATATTAATAGTTTACTTTTTTCTCCACTTAGTAATTAATGATACTTTGATTTTTAGCGGGTTGATCTCGTTATCTCTAGCATTTAATGGAGTCTGTAATGCTTCTCACACACACACACACACATCCATCATCACAATATCGTGATGAAATTGTAAATAACAACGACAAGATATATCAATGCATTGCTTAATACAATTCTTAGTTATCGGCTCTTCAACTTTTCGCATTCTTATATTATTAAAATATAATTAAAGAGAGAAAGATTATTTCAAGATTAACTGCACAATATGTAATTTATTTTGTGTTTCATTCCATTAGCAATTAAAAGTTTGGCACATTAAAAAAATTTATACTGTCTGTATTTTTTATTAACTTAACAGAGATTCAGCATATTGTATATCATATCTTGAAAATACACACTTACTAGTTGTAAGTATATATTATACATACAAGTTAATAATGTAAATTTATATGCAATATGTTTATGTTCCCAACTCTGATTATTTAGACAAATAAATTTTCGAAACTAAACTTATGTAAGCAATATTTTTTTCTTTGATACTATTACCATACTGTTCGATTATATGTGAATCTAACAAAATTTATAAAAAGAAAAAAATCAGTGATTTTATATATTTTTTTTTACTCATTTTCTTTATATAAATTATTAGATGGCGTTTTTTCCTCGCGCGCTCGGCACATTCTTCTTTACTGCTCGGCTTCTAGACGTTGCAGCGCGATGATATATAGCCTATGTTACTCAGGAAGATCTAAGCTATTCATAGTTATGAAAGATTTTTTCAAATCGGTTCAGTAGTTTCTGAGATTACCCCAAACAATGGAACAAACAGATAAACTTTACCTCTTTATAATGTAGTATGATATGGTTTAATGAATAATGGAGTCTTAGATATATACTCGATGACTAAAAGGGCAATATAGATAATGTACAAATACAAATAATGTTAATTAGATAAACATTTTAATTTAATGCATCAGTAAAATGCGAGTCTGATATCGCGGCATTTTTATCGCACGTGAAAGAGACTGTTAAAGCGTAACGAGTACCAGATTTTACTTTTTCAACTAGATGTAAATTTTCACTTCCTGAGGTAAAAATCGAGACTCTGCCTGTGAAAATATTGTTAAATTATTTCATCTCTATGTATATATAATAAACTTATTTAATCGCGTGTAAGTCTTACCTTTTCTTGGTTCTATTGTTGTATTGACATTATTTTTGTCGATGAATATAAACCTACCACCTTCGAAATTTTTCTCATAATCATTTAAATACAGCAGTGATGTATAATGAAACGATTCATATGTCTCCTAAAATTTTAATTTTAATTTAGTTTCGGCTTCTTCAATCGCTTCTTAAATATCACGAAACATGCTTGACAAAATATACAAAATAGAAAGAAAAAAGGAAATTTTTTATATTTGTATAACTATATTAAGAGTGTTATAATGTTTTGAACCAAACCTTATCAACATGTGGATGCCAGTATTCATCATGTATAGTTCTCGCGGGTTTATTAGTTATCCGCGAAAAAAACGTAGGTTTGGTTAAATAAATTTTATCTATATCTACCCCAAAATTATGTGCTACTGCATGTTGTATTTTCGTTTTCACTACCCTATAAATTAAACGTAATATCCTATTATTTTAAATGTTGATATATGTAATTCTTCATTCAACCATCAATATATGATAAATATATAATAAAATGTTTAAATATATAAATTTATGTATGTTGTAATTCTGTTAATTGAATGTATTTATCTTAAAAATTAGATTTGGAATAGAAATAATTTATTTATATGTATTTAAGCAAATTTAAATAATCAATTTTCGTGTCCTTAACTTTTAATATTAATTCTAAAATGCAAAAATTTTTGTTTTTCTTTACGTGTAACTTACAACATTCACATAGAATTAAAAGTCATACCTATAAATTGCTAAATCCATATTATTAAATAACTTCTTTGCTGCTGACTGTTTGTAGATATTGATAAAACCCTGCCCTTTGCTGAGAGCGCCAGAATGAAGATCCAGAATACTTGCGCCGCCATCAGATCCAGCCAAATCTAATCCATCTTTTGCTAGCTTCAGTAAAACATCTACCTCTGTTGTCGAGACAAGTTTATCCGTAACAACTCTGCCACATTTTTCTGGTACACAGCCAGGGTATTTTTCTAACTCTTCTCTATAATCCACAGAGCAGTCAACATTCTGTGCACGACTTACCAGCACATCTTTCTGCTTTGCTAAAGATACTTCCTTGGCCTGTCTGCTATTATACCAAACTATTAATAATACTCCGAGTATCAGAATGCATCTGGACCATACTCTTTGATATGGAAAAGATACAACAGGTCCATATTTCCTATCAAATTGAAAGCAGAGATTGTATATACTTTTAATTTATTCTTATAACTTACTTATTAAATAATTACTTAATGACAGCATGCATAATTTTATAGAAACAGCAATCAATTTTTGTGAATATTATGTATCCGATTATTTACAATTTGAATATTATGTATCCGATTATTATTTACAAATACCTGTGCAGGAATCTGTATATATAATGGACCCCTGTGTCTCCTAAATATTTATGATATAATAAATGAGATTTATACACATACTTACAATTCAGCAGACTTGGTCGGCTTTTCCTCAACCTTGCTTTCTTCCTGAATTAAATTTTCCTTCTGTATATTTTTTTTCTTCGTCTTCTTTATTTCTTGCGTCATCGTTGTTTATTTCTTGATTTTATGTTTAACCTAATCTTTCACACATGTCAAACATATATGTCAGCTGTCAGCAAGTGACAGCTAAAGACTATTGCACGTGAAAAAATTTTAAACGTAACCGTAAAGCCCGTATCAGACTATGCATTGAGATTGAAATTTGACCAATCAGGACAAGAAAATTTTAGTTCCTTTTATCCTGATTGGTCAAATTTCAATCTTCAATACGTAGTCTGATACGGGCTTAAGGCCGTAAGTAAATCAACCAATTCAGTTTATGTATTCACCTGCGCAACCCGTAATGCATTGTGAAAGACTGCGAGAGCCAATAACAGTCTACCTTATTTAGCATCTCTTTTCAATAGCGACTGCACAGTACACACCCAGGCTGCGGTCGGAAAGACGCTAGAAATGCTTCGAAGCGTTTGATTGACCAATCAGGACAAAGAGAGTAAAGATTTCTTTATTCTAATTGGTTAATGCAATGCTTCGAAGCATTTCTAGCGT